ATACTCAATCAATTTTTTCATATTATGTACCTTTTCAATTAACTTCTTCTGTTTTTGATGTTCCTTCTGAGTTTCCTCAAAATTTATTGATAATTTTAAAAAAATAAATTAAAATTGAAATATACTTTTTTATTAAAAATTTAATACTCACATATCTATTTTCAATTAAATTTTCATATTGATATAATTACATACTATAAAATCTCTAATAAACGTGCAATTATTTTCATTATTATTCTCTTCAATATTTTCTTCCATATTAATTATGTTATCTGCTTCTAATAAACTTTCTTCAACTTCATCATCATGACTTTCACAAATATTATGCAATATTCAACAAGCAGATACTATACCTGGTTTTCAATTTCAATTGGTGTATGTAAAATTCTCCAACGTGATTTAAGAATATCAAACTCTTATTCAATTTTAATACGAGTTGCTGAATGCATAAAACTTCTTTTAATTAAAATAATCAATTGCATCTTTGGATAGAGCTTTAATTAGTATATGCTTCCATCTATTGCTCAATAACACATGAAAATTTTTTATAACTGAAAAATCTTGGATTATAATTTCAAATCCATTTATTGTTTTGGAAAATCTTTTAAAAATATTGTTAATTAATAATATTTTATTCAAAATTTAATTTTAAATATAATACTGACCTAATTTCATTTTCTAGAAAGTTTTTATTAATCATCTCAATAAAGTTATGTGACGCATAATGAAGGTTGATTCTGCTATACCACATAATTCTGATATAGTACGCAGAGTTCCACCATTACCAAGCCATCAAATTGTTGCAGCAAATTTTTGTTCTGGTAATCCATGTAAAGATGTTTCTGTTTCTGAATCATTCATGTAAGAAAAGAGTGAATTAAATAATCAATCAAATGTTGATTTTGTTAATCGATAATGTCTTTTAAATTCCAAATCTGACTATTTCAAACTCATAAAATTCATTCCGTACTTCTTTTCTAATTTCTTGATGTTTTTTGATTTTACCTTTTTCTTGCACTGTTTCAAAAACCTTAATTACATTAGCAATAATATCGAGGGTATCTTCTTCAGATTCTTCTGACGAGGAGGAAGAAGAAGAGCTTGAAGATGAATAAGTGCTGGTATTATTATCGTCATTTAATATGTTATTAATATTATTTGTTGCTTCATTATCCATTTTTTACGAATTTAGATACTTGGCAATATTAGTCATTTAAAATTGCAATCTAAAATGCATGATGAAAATATTGGTTTGGATCACGGAATCGTGTGGATTCGGTTTGGATTGCGTCAAACCAAAACTAATCTAAGATTGATCGAAATCAAATCCAAAACCTCTATGTGAAGAAACCATTATTATTGCTTTACTATTATGTGGATGACCACATACCAAAAGCATGTATTAAATATTTGTTTCAATTAATTATACACGTGATTATATGATTCACAATCGTATATTGATGTGACATTTAATTAAATAATCAATGATAAAATGGGGTTGCTTCTATAGACGCGTTTTATTAATAAGAAAAATACGAAATAAAAAAGCTGCTGCTGCCAAAGCATCAAAGTTCAAGATAGTTAAAAAAGTGGTTGTGCTACATGCAATAAAAGTTTGTTAGAGTCTGCTAAAGTTGAATCTTTATCGCAAAGCAATGAGAAAAAGTTAATAAAAGAGAATCAAAAAACGGATGCGAAAAAGTCAATCCGATGGATGTTGATTCGACTTCTAGCTAAGCAATTGAAGTTATGCAAGAAAAAGATATTGAGAATCGTGATGAAACGATAAATTCTAGTCAATCAAACAAGTGAATTCGAAGAGGTAGAGGTTCCTAAATATGAACAAAGTATGCTTTAATCCTTGATATGAAACCTGATTGACTATAAGAGTCAGATAAGGTTCAATAGTAATGTCCTTATGACAATTATATTAAGATTAAATCAGAGAGGGATAAAACAATTGAAATAACTTTCTTCATGCCTGACTGCGATTTCATTATAAAGATAAATTTTATTTCGAATCTATTATTTCATATAATTACTGTATGTATATATATATATATACAGAGCACGCGGAATCTCAAAAATAGATCGTGTATTCAAACTAGGATTCACAAACGCACGTGATGTCACTTTTAGCACATGGCATGATTCGAATACTTGTATATGATGCAATGAAACTTAGACGTTATTATATTAATTGATTCAGGCTGAAATGCTGGATTTTTTAAGATTTTCAAAGAATATAGAGATTCGTTCTATATCTGATCTGAAATTTCATTAAATCCTTTATGTTTGCGATGATGAAATTATTGATTACTAGACTCAGAATTTGTTCCTAAGATTGTGCTGAATTTGAAGTAAAGGGAGTCCAAAGGTATATCATACGTATTTATTATCAATATAAATTGAGTATAAAGAATTTATTAAATCTATACGTAGAAAAATCGAAAAGATTTTGCTGATTGGATTCCTTCTATCGATGCCCTGCGAACTGCTATTAAAGAAGGCAAAGGAAGCAAAGACACTTCTGCCTAATTGTTTGTCAAGTAATTGAGATCAATAGGTTTTCTGCTTAATCGATAATTTTATTACAAGCTATTCTCTTTAAATTTGCTATTAAAAAGCCTGTGACAAGGAAATATCTATAAAATGAAAGAATTCTGTTAAGATATTTCCGAAAAATAAAGAATTTTCTAATATGAATACGGATATAATTAGATATTAAATTATTGAGCTTGAATTTATGAAATAATATTATTTAAAATTATAGCTTATTCATTTCTGTTCTCAATTAAGAATTGAATTATAATTAGGAATGTAATAAGTTAGAAGATAGAGAATTATCTTTAACAAAAAATTCTGAGATAATTTTCATAATAATTAGTGTTTTTAATAATCATCTATTATAAACAATGATGTGTAAAAAATGGAAATTGGTTTTTGATTATAAATAATTAAATAATTATTCAAATTATATAAATATTTGCATATATGTTCTTTAATATCTAGAGAACAAGTTTACTTATAATTTTATAAAAAAATCTTAGCAAAATATTTTATAAATTTGCATATTATCTTCAAAAAATTCAAAAAATCAGCTTGCAAGATTGATTACAAAAAATTTATATATGATTTTTTATAATAAAATATTAAAAGCACAGTCACAAAAAACATAATTTATATTATGTTTTACATTATTATACAATAATAAATACTGAATTTTTATAAAAATTTAATAATAATTAACAAATTTACTTAAAACTTAATTATATAATAACTTATTAAAATTATTTTTAATTAAAATTTTTGTAATCAATTTTGCAAGCTGATTTTTTGAATATATAATATAACTTTTTATACTATTTTAATTATTATATTAATTTTAATTTAATAATAAATAAAGTATTACTTTACTAAAAAAACTAAAATAAAATTATTTACCATATAATTTTTATATTAATTTTAATCACATTTTATATAGTAAATTTAAGAAATAATAATTCAAAAAAGTTTATTATCAGTAAAATTTTTATATTTATCTGATATATTAATTTTTCTATACTAGACTAGACTTATATTATTCAATAATTATTTAATTTATTATAATCAAAAAATTAATTACTATTTTTATTTAGCATATTATTATATATAATTATGTATTATATCTCTTATCTCAGCTCTGTGATGATCAAGTTCTCAATTGTATTATCAAAAATTATAACAATTTCTATTTTACTAAGCTATAATTGCTATATTTTTCTATCTATATTTACTAATTTTCATTCATATTTTCTAAAGTTCCTATTGATCAAATATTAATCTCATTTTTTACAATTATGTGTCACTTTTATATATATTAAAATATGATTAATACTTTTTAAAATTTTCTAAGTTCTTGTTATAATAAGTTAAATACTTTATATTTATCTTTTTGCTATTATGGCTTTTATAAAGAACTTAAAGTATATTTTAATCTAGATATTATTAACTAAAATAGAGAAAACTTGAAGTCATAAAAAGATATTTTTACAAGAACAAATATATTATTAATTATTCATAACAATAATAGTATATTAATATAAATATGAATTACTTAAACAAATAGAGTAATTTATATATAAATCAATTTAAGAAGCAAATGATTTAAAAGATATATTAAAATCTATTTTGTCTTTTAAATCCTAATTTGATACTATATAAGAATTTTTTAACTCATTATTATTATGTACCTCTTATTATGGATGGAGATATGGCAACTAAACTTCAATTCACCATGAAAAGATCCTTTTACATATTTCTTGAATACTTACATAAAGATTCTAATGCAATATGTAATATACATCTTTCTTATCTTCATGCTGGAGCTTATATATAACTTGTAAGTAATTAAAATAAATCAGAATAAAAAAGTAAAATATAATGGAATAAAAAGAAAAAAATATTAGGTTTCATTTTTTCAATATCCTTTCTGATACTATTGTAGTTATCAAGCATGATTGCTGAATACATAAAAATTGGGTTCAGTAAAGATCAAGCAAAAGGATTAATAGTAAGATTGATATAATTACCAATCAAAGCAAAAGATACTTTTTGGTCAGAATATCTTATAAATAATGGAGATACTGATGATGCTAAACTATCAATTGGATCTTATGTTACAATATTAGTAAATGGATCAGAATATACAGGCAACTACAGAACTATATCAAATAAAGAATTAGCAGAGTTTCATGAATCAATAATAGAATGCGTGGAAGTAATATGTAGTAATAATATAAATAGAAATCAGCTAGAGTAATGCCATTTTCATAAGATCACATGATTCAGGTAATTCTCATCCAATTAATTTATTAATATATGATTTATATGTGAAACTTATTATATATATATATATTCCTGATTTTGGACTTTCTGAACCAGTAGATAAAAAACCTAATCAAGAAATTTGTAGAGTACTCTCTTTATATGGATCCAGATGGAGGTTTAAATTATAAGGCAGAAGAAATTAGATATAAAAATGAATAATGCATTGTATTTTATATAAAAAATAGTTTTTTTATTGAAAAAAGTTGAGACCTACTTCAGAGAATCAATTAATTGCTAAGAAATTTAATACATAATAGTGAATAAAATAAGTAGAGTAAGAATAAATATCTTGCATTTAGCACTTTAAAATATAGATAGATTCTTAACTCTCACTATAAATTCATATTATTATTTTGAATATTAAGTTCAATATTTATTGATCCTGTAAATTATATATGTATAAAAGAATGAATCTTTGGATAATATTCCTAGGCAGAAAGAAAAGAGTATTAATATTAGTTTTTAACTACTAATTTTTTTTATTCAATATCATTTCTTTTGTAGTAAAAAAAGATTTTGATTCCATAAATTACAGTATCTCTTCTATCAGAATACCTTTGAATATCTTTGGAAATAATATCAGTTTTCATAAATAAATTGATTTATATTCTTAATATGACAATAATAAATAACTAGAAAACATACATGAACTTTTAATGTATGTCTGAATAATAAATGACTTGTAAATAAATATGATCTCGAATACGTATCTGACTCTTATGCATCATTTTTATGAAAATAATAACTTCTTACTGTACATAATTATTTTATAGTAAATCTGATTTAATATTTTAATTGTGTATTATATTGATGTTAGTTTATAATACTCATGATATAGTAAATATATTTTTTGTTAAAAAGAATAGAAGAGCTATAATACATGTATAATAATCTGATAAGAGTATTAACTTTTTAATAGTATATTTATTTATTTATTTAAATAGGTATGATTTGATAATAAAATAATAAAAATATGTGTAAATATAAAGAAATTGAAACCATTTTTGGTCGAAAATTATCTAATGTTAATATCTTTGATGTAATCTTTTGTTATATAAGATAATATATTCAGATAAGTCACATAGAAAAATCAAGATATATTATTATATCAAGAAAGTTCACACAGAAGATTCAAGATATAGGTGATGATATTTGAAATAGAGTTCACATAGAAAACTAAATCAAAGCAGACAAGAAATTATATTTAAAACTTATTCTTTATTCATGTTAAATCTTGTTAAAAATACAGAACAGATACAG